TCTAAGAGTCACTGGAATTCCTACTTTGTCTTTGCCCATAACCCGGAGTTGGCATTCACATACTATAAACCATGTGGGTAAGCGCTTGAGATTGGAATTTCTTCGTGGAATCCAGGCAAAACTAGTGGATGTCTAATTGAAAAATCGCTGGGTATATACACACTTCAAAGTCTTACACTGGTTGCTTTTCAGTTCAGCTTCTTGTTGAGATTCTTCAAACGGAATTGTTTAGAGGGACATAAAAGTGGTGATAAAATTTTTTTACTGTATTAAAAAGCGATAATTACGAATTTTCATTAAATCCACGTGTTTTTTCAGGGAAAATCAGATGAGTCGGTGAAAATTGAATTCGTCATTCGACTGCGGTGAACTTTTTCGATTAAATATTCGTTTTTGGGATTGTGAGTTTGGAAAAATGAGTTTTTCCATCGAACGTATTGAGAGAATGGGAAATTTACGATCCAAAAGAGGCTGGTGACCTTTCCCGCTGACTTAATCTCCAAAATATGGCAAAAAGAAAATTTGAAAAATTTTTGGTGAAATTTTAATGGAAAATGGTTTGTTCTCAAATCTTTAAAACTATGGGGGCAAAATGGGTTGCGTCATGAAATAGTCAGGGAAATTTCCGATTCAAAAAGAGGCTGGCGACCTCTTGCATCCACTTAGTTTCCGAGATATTACACAACCAAATTTTGACCAATTTTGGTGAAATTTTGACCAAAAATGTTTTCTCCCATATCTTGGAAACTATGAGGGCAAAATGGGTCATCATATTGAATTTTTCAGCGGAAATTTTCCTGGCCTTCCAATTGCACAACCCATTCTGCCCCATCTTTATTTTCCGTTCTAAAAAATTTTCGATTTTCCGATTTTAGACTTTATATCCAATGAATGAAATATGTTGAGTCGATGAGATCGATCGAAATAGTGATAAATGTCAGCCACTGGGTATGTTGGTCTTGGGGGCATCCCCCAAAAGCCGAAAAAAGCTCATCCTCTCGGCCTTGAACTTGCCCTGAACACACCCGTCGGGAGCTTTTCCCCTTCGAGCTAGATGCCCGAAAAACCGTGTCAAGCAGTTTTTCAACTGCACTACGACAAATAAACGATTCTGCGATGGTCGTTGTGGTGAGAGAGGGTGGAGGGTATGAGGGGATGAAAGCGACAAGGGGTATTTGGCTTCTTACAGGCTACTTGTTAGTATAAGGTGGGTGTTAAACTCTCTATTCGCCCTCTTTTTCCATTCTATTCGACCTACAATAGCCCCTAGCCAGTCTTCAGTGCCAAGCGGGTTCATTCAGCTACCCTCGGGCTCTTTTTCCCCGGCAAGATTTGTGGTTATTGTACTTTTCGCGGTTGTAGTTCATGGTGGAAGCACGTGGGTAAAGTGAATTTTGATGGAAGATGTGTTTTTTATTGAGTATTGGAGATGAAAGCGAAAATGGAACGCTAGGAGACACAATTGAGGTTATTTTGAGAAAAAATTTTGTCGCGAAAATGCACTTGGTTGCTAAACAAAAATATTCATAACTCTTTTCAATGGATTTTGTTTCATTTGAATAGCACTGATGGTTCCTGAGTAAATCCCAAATTTATATTTATGGATCATTGATCTATAGATCATTGGTCATACCTCAACATCCATCAAAAATCCTTCAATCATGTCTCTTCAATGCAACCTTTCCATTTCACCAATTCTCCAAATCTTCAAAAAGTGTCGCTACAAATGTGGAAATTCTCGATCATTGATTTATAGATCATTCATTAATCCTAAGAATTCATTCGAAATACGTCAATTTTACTCTTCTATCGACAACTTCTTCATCTTTGCAAGACAATCGTTCAATTCAATCAATGGCCGACTATTCTCAAGATCAATTATTGATCATCGATCATTGATCTATTATAGATCAGTCCCAAATAATCGCCAGAATCACGTTCATTATACTCTTTTCCATCGGAAATTTTCCCAGCTTTACAATGCAATAGTTCAATTCAACGAATGTCCGACGATGCTCAAGATCAATTATTGATCATTAATTTGTTGGATGCATAACAGTATCGAATAGCGAAAACCCTGGAAAAAAAAATTGAAAACATTGTCAGTTTGAATTTCAGCGAGAGGCCTCACCTCTACGCGTGAAACATTGCTCTTTAATAGTGACCCATAAACAATCCCAGAAAAACGTCTCTACCGCAAGAAAGTGTGGAAGAAAAAATTCATGAAAAAGGCCCGACCGACTTTTTCCACTGGCTAGATATAGACACGTTATGATATGCCCCAAGGAGGGGTGACTTTTTACCACCAGCGTGACTCAGGTTCACTGACTGTGTCTTTACTGCCTCGGCACAGGCCAGAGCATCAACAAAAAAAAAATTGTTCTTTTTCATTCGTTTTGAGGGGACCATTGATGCTTGTTGTGACGAGTCGTGCTTTAGGGGTGAGTTTTTGTATGTCAAACCGTGACCTTACGCAAGGCTTTACTGCTTGATGTCGATATGAGTGTGAATGAGCGAATGCAAAGTCATCACTAAATTTTCCAAGCGACATGGAATAAAATTAATTTTTTGTTATTAATTGGGTATTTATGAGTTTTGGAAAACGAGTTTTTTTATCCCATGTGTGAAACGGACGGGAAATTGCCGATCCAAAAAGAGGTTGACGACCTCTCGCATCCGCTTCGTTTCCAAGATATAATCAAAATAAATTTCGACAAATTTTGGCGAAATTTTAATCAAAAATGTTTTTTCCCATATCTTGGAGACTATTCGGGCAAAAAGGGTCGTCATAGTGTGTTTTCCAGCAGAAATTTCCCTGGCTTTCCGATGGCGCAACCTGTTTTGCCCCACTCCTCAAAGAGCACAAGTCCATATTGTGGTTCAAGGTAAAAAATTGAAAATAACGCTTTTAATTCCCAGCGATCGTTTGCGCGTTCGAAATAAATTAATTTTTTCCACTCTAAAATCACAGAGTTTATTATAGATATAAATCGAGGGGACCATAAAGCTAACGACACCGGAGGTTGAATTGTTGTCCTTTCGTTTTGCACTGGAACACACACGGTGAATATGTTGACATTTTAAATTGAATGACTGTTGTCTGATGTTGACGAGCAATATGAGCATTCAAACATGCCCCCCGGACCATTAATTAAAATTCTCACTCATTCGATCCTCGTATATACTGATTTTTCGGTTAATTAACGTTCTGTGGGGAAAAAAATTGACGATTTATCAAATTGAGAGCCGTCTTTGTCTTTTTAGGGAGGAGTTATTGGGATGTCCGTCCTTGATAATTATTCGGAGTGATTAGTGCCAATGCAACTTGAGAAAAAAAATTTCATGATTTTACTTTCGACATTTTTATTTTTATTTTTTTTATTCAACATTTTCTTTTGAAAAAATATATTTTTCAGCATTTTTGCTATAATTTTTTTTTTTTCAAATTTGTTGTCCAAAATTTTTTATCACCAGAATTTCACAATTTTTTCATGAAAAAAATTACTCACAAAAAAACTTCACTGTTTTCGATTCAGAAAACCACAAAAAAGGGATGAAAATTGTTTTCAGGATATTCAAGTGCTTTGGCTATTTTTTCTCCAGTGAAATTTTATTTTTATTTTGTAGTCGAACAACAGAGCTCTCATTTGAGCCCCATTTGATGCCAATTTTTCGGAAATTTTACAATGATTTTATTATTTAAACTTTGCAGGTCTGAATTTGAATCTCAATCTTGAACCGTTAGAAATTTTTTTTTAATCTGAAAAAAAATTAGAAAGTCAACTTTTGAAGGAAGATTAATACAATAATGAATTTTCTGTAAATAATTCAAAAACAATCAATTTTACACCATAAAAATCATTTGTTCGTAATCGTAAAAAATTTATTCATATTCAGAATTTTACCAGAAATCGATTTAATGCCTAAAAAATTAAATTCCGAAAGTTTAAACAATTTCAATTATTCATCTATAAAGAACGAATCTTAAAAAAAAATTAATTCTGTGCAAAATGTAATTTTAATGACGCAATTTAATTGCCAATGAAAATGTTCAAATTTCTTCTCTCAGTATGTTTGCTATAAACAATAATTTCTCAAAAATTCGTTGTCGAAAACTTTTCGGATAAAACCCCTTGATATTTTCGATTGACAAAGTTCTCTCTACCCCCAAAACTCCCCAATTTTTCCATGAAAGAAAAATTGCCCCAAAAACTTCACTATTTCCATTTAAAGTAGCTCTACCCTTCGGCCGGGCTACGCTGCACTTTTGGATATTTTCAGTTTTTAAATTTTTCAACTGAATTGCATGGAAAATTTTTTAAAAAATTCATACCCACTCACAATTATCTAAATTAAATTTCACAAAATATTGATATTTTTTCAAACATTTTTTCAAACGCTGGATTATTTTTAATGAGGTACCAAAAAAAATCTTTCTTTCATCCCATCCAATGAAAAAAAATCAGATTTTAATCTTTGATTACAGTGTAAATGTTGCTTTTCACATAAGACACTGGGTTAAATCCTGATTTTTGAACATTTCATCTTAGAAAAACCAAATCGAGTTTTCTGCAATCGTTGCAGTTTTCAATAATCTTTGAATTTACCGTAAGGGTAGAGCTGCTTTCAAAAACCCCCAAAAAGACGATGAAAATTCTTTTGAAACGCGGAAAAAAAACTCCAAAACCCCGTGAATTCCACTCGCACCTATGTCCCACCTCCCCAAGATGCACTTGGCCTTCCCCTCCCCCACCCCCTCCTCGCGCCGACGTACACCCTCCCACATTCCCCTCCCCCACCCCCCGTTATCCGCAAAATTTCCCCTACCACTTCGTCAAACGCCTCGCCGGTTACTTCTGGTTCAACGTATCCAAGTGGCTGTGGTACGACACAGACCAGACTCCCCCGTTCCGAATTCCACCGACGCCAGCCGAAGCTTCACGAACAGCCGTTCGAATACCGGCTCCCGCGTCAGTGTACTAACCGCATTCGCGGTCCACGGTTCACAGTATTATTTCCGGGCGTGAGTGCGTGACTGTATACTAAATGATTTTTTTTTTCGTTCCGTTCGCCTTTAATTATTATCATTATACGTGTTTATGATTGTGTGGAATCACCTAGCGAGTCACATGACACCCTGCGATTGCGTGAAACAAATAGAAAATTGTTAAATTTTTTTTCAATTTGAAAGACGAAAAAATAATAGGAGTCGAATTTTTTGTGCTTTGAATTTTCCCGCCTTTTTTAAAAATGATTCTGCGATGCTCCATTCTCCCGGCAACATCGACTAGCCGCTCTGGGACTGTACACGTGTTGAGACGCATAAAAAACTGAGATTTTAATTTTGTGTTGTTGAAAATACTTCGGAAAATGTGAAGGGACTCCGGGATATTTGACGATTAAACCGTGCAATAAGTGGAGATCGGTAAATTCTAGTCAAGTGTATAAAAAAAAAGTAGAGGATTACATGATCGACTGATATAATTTATTAACTGAAAGACTGTTTCCGTAATAAAGCGAATTGTCAAGTGGCAAATGGAGAGGTTATAGGCTGAATACAACGACGCAACGTCAAGACAACCGAGTGATTGTTATTTTATTTTGATTTTCAAAAACACTTGGAATTCCTTTGTGATTGAGTCATCCAGTTCGACACGAGTGTAAACAAAACATTGAATACAGTGGTGACATGGTGCGAGGAATTTCGACAGTGTTTACGTTTTGGAGAGTGGCTGAATCCTGAAAAATCGAATTAATCGGGGTGAATCATTCCTCGGAAGTAAGATAAATAATAAATCCGAGGGTTTCGTATTGTCTTAAACGTCGACAAAGTCCTCAAGGGAATGAAAAAAAATCTCTCCCTTGAAGTGAAGGGGAAAATCACCTGAAGTGAGAAATAATCATCGAATCACTGGGTTAACAGTCGGGGAAATGTCTTGAGACATTGGAAAAATCATCAGGGTCATAAAAAAATCAGTTTGTGGAGTAAAAGTGAAGTGACGATTTTTCAAGTAAATTCGTAATAATCGTCTTCTTGACTTTGATCAAGTGCTGGTTCGCGATAAACTCCACGTGATGGTGACAATGATGACAATGATGATGGGGTCAGTACCCTGGAGTGAATGAAGTGATTTTTGATTTTTTTTTTGTGGTTTTTGGTGCTTCTGAGGGCTATTGAACCTTGGGGAAGGGGAGGGAAAAGGGGGAATAGTGACGTTTCGACGAGATATGTATCCCTGGTACAGGGAGAGCGTCGCGGCGGCAGCGGCTGCGGGACTCGGTGGGCCTGTTGGTGTCGTTGGCACTGGATTCTGCTCTACAGCACCTGGACAGGGTGGCACTACTATTAAAACTGAGAGCGGGTACTCAGACTGCATGCTGGCGCTGGATTACGTGCAGAGCAAGGTGAGTTTTTAATTTGTTTTTTTTTCGGGGGTGATTGAACGCATTGGGGTGAGGAGACTGCATTTTGTAGGAGGTTCTCATTGAACTCTTCTTGATTTTGATTGGGCGTTCTGGGAATGTTCTGGGATTGATCGGGGGAGTCAGTGGATTCAGACGCTGATTCCTGATTTTTTCGAAAATAATTTATGAAGTTCAGAAGGATGATGATGATAATGATGATGTGGAGATGCTCTTGAATTTTTTTTCAATTCTCGTTTAATTTTTCTTGATTTCAATTGATAGTCTGGAGATATTCGGGGATTTATCAGGGAATTCAATGGATTGAGGCGTTGATTCTTGATTTTTCGAAAATAATTTATGAATTTCAGAATGACTATGATGATGATGATAATGATGATGTGGAGATGCTCTTGAATTTTTTGTCAATTCTCGTTTAATTTTTCTTGATTTCAATTGATAGTCTGGAGATATTCGGGGATTTATCAGGGAATTCAATGGATTGAGGCGTTGATTCTTGATTTTTCGAAAATGATTTATGAATTTCAGAATGAGGATGATGATGATGATGATGATGATGATGTGGGGATGCTCTTGAATTTTTTGTCAATTCTCATTAAATTTTTTTTTATTTCAATTGATAGTTCTGGAGATATTCAGGGATTTATCAGGGAATTCAATGGATTGAGGCGTTGATTCTTGATTTTTCGAAATTGATTTATGAAGTTCAGAAGGATGATGATGATAATGATGATGTGGATGATGTGGAGATGCTCTTGAATTTTTTTTCAATTCTCGTTTAATTTTTCTTGATTTCAATTGATAGTTCTGGAGATATTCGGGGATTTATCAGGGAATTCAATGGATTGAGGCGTTGATTCTTGATTTTTCGAAAATGATTTATGAAGTTCAGAAGGATGATGATGATAATGATGATGTGGATGATGTGGAGATGCTCTTGATTTTTTTTTTCAATTCTCGCTTAATTTTTCTTGATTTCAATTGATAGTTCTGGAGATATTCGGGGATTTATCAGGGAATTCAATGGATTGAGGCGTTGATTCTTGATTTTTCGAAAATGATTTATGAAGTTCAGAAGGATGATGATGATAATGATGATGTGGATGATGTGGAGATGCTCTTGATTTTTTTTTTCAATTCTCGCTTAATTTTTCTTGATTTCAATTGATAGTCCTGGAGATATTCGGGGATTTATCAGGGAATTCAATGGATTGAGGCGTTGATTCTTGATTTTTCGAAAATGATTTATGAAGTTCAGAAGGATGATGATGATAATGATGATGTGGATGATGTGGAGATGCTCTTGATTTTTTTTTCAATTCTCGTTTAATTTTTCTTGATTTCAATTGATAGTTCTGGAGATATTCGGGGATTTATCAGGGAATTCAATGGATTGAGGCGTTGATTCTTGATTTTTCGAAAATGATTTATGAATTTCAGAATGAGGATGATGATGATGATGATGATGATGATGTGGGGATGCTCTTGAATTTTTTGTCAATTCTCATTAAATTTTTTTTTATTTCAATTGATAGTTCTGGAGATATTCAGGGATTTATCAGGGAATTCAATGGATTGAGGCGTTGATTCTTGATTTTTCGAAATATTTTATGAATTTCAGAATGACGATGATGATGATGATAATGATGATGTGGATGATGTGGAGATGCTCTTGATTTTTTTTTTCAATTCTCGCTTAATTTTTCTTGATTTCAATTGATAGTTCTGGAGTTATTCAGGGATTTATCAGGGAATTCAATAGATTGAGGCGTTGATTCTTGATTTTTCGAAATATTTTATGAATCTCAGAATGACGATGATGATGATGATAATGATGATGTGGAGATGCTCTTGAATTTTTTTTCTATTCTCGTTTAATTTTTCTTGATTTCAATTGATAGTCTGGAGATATTCGGGGATTTATCAGGGAATTCAATAGATTGAGGCGTTGATTCTTGATTTTTCGAAATATTTTATGAATCTCAGAATGACGATGATGATGATGATAATGATGTGGGGATGCTCTTGAATTTTTTTTCAATTCTCATTTAATTTTTATTGATTTCAATTGATAGTTCTGGAGATATTCAGGGATTTGTCATGGAATTCAATGGATTGAGGCGTTGGTTCTTGATTGTCTAAAAATAATTTATGAATTTCAGAATGAGGATGATGATGATGATGATGTGGGGATGCTCTTGAATTTTTTGTCAATTCTCATTTAATTTTTATTGATTTCAATTGATAGTTCTGGAAATATTCAGGGATTTGTCATGGAATTCAATGGATTGAGGCGTTGGTTCTTGATTGTCTAAAAATAATTTATGAATTTCAGAATGAGGATGATCATGTGGGGATGCTCTTGAATTTTTTGTCAATTCTCATTTAATTTTTCTTGCTTTCAATTGATAGTTCTGGAAATATTCAGGGATTTGTCATGGAATTCAATGGATTGAGGCGTTGGTTCTTGATTGTCTAAAAATAATTTATGAATTTGACGATGAGCATGACGATGATAATCATGTGGAGATGCTCTTGAATTTTTTTTTCAATTCTCATTAAATTTTTCTTGATTTCAATTGATAGTTCTGGAAATATTTAGAAATTTATCAGGGAATTCCATGGATTCCGGCGTTGGTTCTTGATTGTCTAAAAATAATTTATGAATTTGACGATGAGCATGACGATGATAATCATGTGGAGATGCTCTTGAATTTTTTTTTTCAATTCTCATTTAATTTTTCTTGATTTCAATTGATAGTTCTGGAGATATTCAGGGATTTATCAGGGAATTCAATGGATTGTGGCGTTGATTCTTGATTTTTCGAAAATAATTTATGAATTTCAGAATGAAGATGATGATGTGGGGATGCTCTTGAATTTTTTTTCAATTCTCATTAAATTTTTCTTGATTTCAATTGATAGTTCTGGAGATATTCCGGGATTTATCAGGGAATTCAATGGATTGAGGCGCTACTTCTTGATTGTCTAAAAATAATTTATGAATTTGGGGATGAGCATGACGATGATAATCATGTGGAGATGCTCTTGAAGTTTTTTTTTTAATTCTCATTTCATTTTTCTTGATTTCAATTGATAGTTCTGGAAATATTCAGGGATTTATCAGGGAATTCAATGGATTGAGGGGTTGATTGTTAACTGTCCAAAAATAATTTATGAATTTGAGGGTGAGGATGATGAAGACGAGAAGGATAATGATAATGATAATGATCATGATCAATGACATTCGCCAATTTCATGGCAAAAACATTCTAAAACAATTATCAATCCCCTTGAATAAATCGATTTCGATTCGCATTCAATATTATATATAATCTCTCACTCAGATTGGAAATTCAAGGGACTTGTTCCTTGAATTTTCAAATTATTTAACCATTTTCATTATGTGGACTTCAAAATTGCAATTCCATTGAATTCCGGAATTCAACTGATTTTTCAACATCAAAATACATGGAAATTTCGTGTGAATGAGTGATTGTTAAAAATTTCAAGATTTTTTACTTGAAATTTTCGGAGTAATTTTCTGACAGTGTAGTAAAGTCTATTCATGACAGAATCATGAAATTCAATTGATCCCTTACAAGAAAATTTAGAAAAAAAAATGAAGAAAAAGGTCTACACATATACATACACATAACATAGTTACTCTGACGAAAAAATGACAAATGTTTTACCTTACATTTTTCAATTGAAAATACTCTCGACAATTCAATAATCGTGTTTCTCATTTTCTAATAATCGAAATGATTTCCCCTTCGTCTCCCGCATCCACTTTTCCGCTCGACAGCCATAAGTACACAACCGTTCATTAACTCCCATAAAAAGTGCCGGCATTATCGCCGTTTGTCCGGGAGAGAGCACGAGCGAGAGGAACTGACACCTCACTCTTTTTTTTTTTTCACCAACTGTTATTATTATATTTTTTTTACTCTAAATCCTCCATTATTATTTCGCTCTCCGCTGCATCCTCACCGTGATGTGCAATTTTTTTTTTACGATGGCTCAATTAATTGACCGTGATTATGAGTCACTCTGACATTTTTTTATTCATTCAATAATCGCCGGTTTAGGAGGAGAAATGACTTAATGGACACTTCTTGCAAAAATTATTTCCAAAAAAATAAATCAACTTTCCCAAAGACATTGGAAACAAAACATTTTTTCCAATATTTTGATCTAAAAATGAATCAGTTGAAGTAATTGAATTAATGAAAGAATTAAATGTTTTCATTGAAAGAAAAAAAAATTAATGACTGTCGCCGAAAAAGGGAAAGGAGCTTTCGATTTTTAATGAATCATTACCAAATTTTTTTTCATCTAAATAACCTCTCTATCGGCATCAATTTGTAAAAGTGATAATCGCGTGATTTATATCAGATAATAAAATCCAATCGTATGATGAATGTACATGAGACTTAATACCGTTGATTTATGGTTTGTGTAAATGTACATTTTACTTAATTGTCGGCGGTTGGTTGGTTAATTAAAGGTGTCGTTGAACCTCCCTCAGACTATTAAAATACAATGTATCTAGATTTCCACCAGTGATTTTAATAACAAACCAACGACTCAACAGTGAGAGTCTTGAGTAGTTGTTTCTCTAGGATATATACCATTAAAGGTATAGAGACGAGGGGGAATCCCCTACCTAACATATCAATTCACCAGTTGAAAGCACATGTTCTATTACACTCATTAATTCGTAAATCTTGAATAGCATTAAATCAGGACTGTTGATTTTTCCACTTGAGAAAATTGAAGGTTTAATTGAATGCTATTTTATGCCTTTGGGAGCATGATTTTTTTGAAAACCTAAAATTATTTTTGAACTGAGGACTATTTTGAGGTCTCATTTCTGGAGTGAATTGGTAAACTAGGATAAGTGCATTTCAACTGAGGACAGTTATCAAGCGATATCTCGTAAATAAAAACAGATATCGAAATTTTTATTAGAACCTTTT